CTTACTCTCCTCTACAGGAAAGAGGTTTTTTTCTCAGATCAGAGACGTTTTTCCAGCCCCCTGACCCCTCTGCCTGCAGGGCACCACAGCAGGCAGGCAGCACCTGAGCCTCATCCAGCCACTGATGCCAGGCTGAGCCACTCCACAGGGCCAGGTCGCTTCCTCCTGTTCGTTTTTAGCCCCAAACTCCTGCCACGACCCCTCACATCCATCAAGGCAGGAACAGAGAGGCCCAGAAAGGCAGCAGCATACTGGGGCTGTTGTGTGTTATGCCGTTCCTCCCCTGAATTTGGCTGCAGTTTAGAGAAAGGCTTTCTGTTAACACTTGCACTCCAACACTTTCATTGCCCAACAAGGTGAGCTGCTGCTTTCTCTGCATCACAGAAGCACCAACTTCAGGAGGTGAGAAGTCATCTGTACACCAGTAAGGTACGAGGGAGCTGCCAGTGAGAGTTATTTTGAGCTGTGTCTCATCCTGCTCCAAAGTACCTGCAAGGCACACCTGCTAAGCCCCACTTTCAGTGGCTTAAGGCACCCCCACCCTGTGCATTAGTTTCAGCTACTCAGGCAGGTTAGCTGGGCTGAGACACAGCACTTGGGATTGATGTGTTCCCTGCTCCTGCTGCATTAACAGCAGGCAGCAGACATGCATGAGATGGCTACTGGCACCAGTATCAGCATCTTCACACCTGCAGCCACACTCCAGCTCTGCCTGTGGCACTGGGAGCTGCTGTAGCTCTATCCTGATCTTCCAGGTCTCTGACTACAAAAGCATAGCAAACAACTCAGTTGGGATTTTCTCCTGGGGAAGCAATGACTTGCTTTCTATAGTATCCAGCAGCTGTGAGGAAAGCCTGATAAAACAACTCACAGTTCACCTCCAGAGCACCCTGCATGCTCCATGCTCACTCCATCAGCTTTCCAGGACAGGCTGGAGAACCACCTCCACTGCAGCAGGTAGCTCAAGACAGCACAAGCACTGCACAGCATGGCCAAGGCTGCTGAACTCATCTGGGCTAAGAGATGAGCATCTCTGTGCCATTCTCAGACTTGGAGGACTCTGGAGGAACTTGGCTCTCTGCCATTCACATCTCAAGGGCTGGTTTTCTCCCAGCCTACACCTCAGTGAAGGGAGGGACACCCTTCCCACACCTGCCTGGTACTGCATCCACGGGTGTCCTGGGCTGGGAGAGAAGTGCTCGGATTTAATATAAGCATGTGTTAAAGGCAGACACACTTTCTCCGAGCACAACTCACTTCTAGTCAGCCACAACCTGCCTGCAAGTGGGTTCAGTAATAAGA